ATTGACAGCAAATAAAATGATACAATCAACAGCTAGATCAAGTCAATCTTCTAAGTTTCAAGCAGATAAAAAGAAATTTGGCACCAGAGTTTAAAATCTCTACCAAGTTTAAGAAATATGTATATTGATTTTGGGTTCCCTATTGAGTTAAAAATATATGTATACGTGCACTAATTGATTTTATTTTGTTTAGTTGAATGTAAAGGTGAAGGGATTAGCTTGAAATGTGATAAATGATTCAACTGTAATTGGTTGGTTGTTGACTATGAGATAATTTAGTAAAGAAGTATTAGAAAGTCACAGTTATTCCTTTAGTTACTCCTTTACCAAAAATTGTTTTTTTGTGCTGCCTGCTTTACACATCACTGTCATTAAATCTGAATATCACATTGACTTGAACTTGTTTAACAAATGATAAAAAAAAAAAAGCAGGAATGTAGGAGACCCAAATAAGGGATCAGGAAAAAAAAGCTAATAATAAAATAAAAGTCAAAATCAACAGGCAACTATAAACCAGAGACATACTACAAGAGGGAAAGAAGTAGGATCAAAACAAGAGTGGTAGGAATTTTATGGGGACTATAACCAAGATGAAAATGCATACATTGTACAAAAATGAAAAATGATATATAAAATAAAATAAAATTATCATGAATAAAGTTCACTAGGAAAAAACAAAACAACCCCCCCCCCAAAAAAACAGCAATCTTTGACTTGAGCTGTTTCGTTTTTGCTCAAATCAAGAACATAGTTGTCATATACAAAGAGTGGCATACTTTTGGCTAATTTTCCTCTTGGTAGATATGAGCAATTCAAATCCCTTCAGACATATGAATCAGTGACTCCCAAATCAGATCTCTGGGGAACATTTGAAGGTTTTGGCCCAAGTACTGACATGGACAGTCAATCCATGGCAGCAAGTTACAAATCCTGGTAAGACTCCCTTCCATTATATTGCTTCCCCAATACATGTATATTTTATCTCTCTGTGGTGTTTTAAGATCATAGTTTTAAAAAAATGAATTATTTCCACCTAAATTTTGGCTTATCACACATCTTTATCATTCCCAATTCCAATAATCCCTTTGGAATGAAAGAATCAAAATAAAAAGAAGACCTTGGAGTCAAAAGGAGTCCCACTTCTGATAATGACAGAGTGGCTACTATTAGGTAACAACTATTAGTTCTAGAGGTCATAAAAAAATAACTCCAGGAGGCACTGGAGAATGAACAGAACAAGTACAAGAAGGGAGGGTAGTGGGGGATTTGGCACTTGGGAGAAGGGAATGGTTTTTCGATTTAAAGCTCTTGAGTCAGAATGGTGAAGTGACCGGCGCTCAGACAAAGTAGCTCAGTCTTGCTGGCTTGAAGAACTGGAAGAAAGCATGCGGAGTTATCAGATCAGCTTGCTAGAAAGTAAGGTGTAAAATCATAGAAAGGAGAGTCGCAGAGAAAGAAGCCCACATGTGATGTGATAGCTCTCCCAGATATCTAACTCAATCCTGGATAATCCTATCAGCCAACTAAAGATAAAGAACTGACATGTCAGCTTGTGTCCATCTCGAGTCTGAACTCAATCAAATTGACTGGCTAAGAAAGAAATGCTAACACTTGAAATTTAACAAAAGCTGGAGTCACTGTAATATGAAACTGAAATGTCCAGGAAACACTTTAAAATTATTAAATGTAAAAAAAAAAAAAAGGAAATGATCCATATTCAAAGAGAAAATGTGATCAATATGGAATGGCTCAAAGAGGATTCAGATGCTGGATTAAGTATGTAAGGATATTAAAGTAGATATTATAGTTATGTATAAAGGCATTAAGAAAAAATGTAAAGGAAACATGAAAGAAAAAATTGTGGCAATGAAATAATGAGCAAATCTTACCAGAGACATTAAAATTATTCAAATAAAGCAATACAAAATCTAGAACCAACACATAGTAAACACAAAGTTCACTGTATGGATTTAACAGCAGATTGGACATGATGAAAGAGTCAGTGAACTTGAAGACAGAGCAATAGAAATCATCTGATATAAAGAGTACAAAAGGAAAACAAGGGCCTCCCTGGTGGCGCAGCTGTTGAGCACTGGGTTGCGAAGCTGCCCGCAGCCTCTGCAGCACCGATTTGATACCCGGCCACCAGGCAAAGGTCCCACATGGCGCACAGACCTCTCCTGCCGCCCACTGCTCCCCTTAGCAGTGTACTTCGTCACTCTGCCTGTTCTACTCATCGCTCTGGCTCTGGTGAATTCTCTCACCCTCCCACATCTCTGACTGTACCCAGTGCTTGTATAAATAAATAAATAAATAAATCTTTATGTACCACATCTTCTTGATCCAGTCATCTATTTTTGGGCATTTGGGCTGTTTCCAAAGCTTAGCTATTGTAAACAGTGCTGCTATAAACATAGGGGTGCAGGTGCTCTTTAGAATTGATGTTTCTGTGTCCTTTGGGTAAATACTTAGGAGTGGAAGCTCTATGTTTAGTAGGTCCAGAAATCTCCACACAGCTCTCCATAGTGGTTGGACCAGTTTGCACTCCCACCAACAGTGCAGGAGAATTCCTTTTTCTCCACATCCTTGCCAACATTTGTTGTTGCTAGTTTTTTTAATATGTGCCATTCTCACTGGTGTGAGATGGTATCTCATGGTAGTTTTGATTTGCATTTCCCTGATGACAAGTGATGTTGAACATTTTTTCATATGCCTGTTTGCCATTTGCATTTCCTCTTCAGAGAAGTTTCTTTTTAGCTCTTCTGCCCATTTTTTGACATATACACCATGGAATATTACTCAAAATTCAAAAAAGATAAACACATGCAATTTGCAGCAACATGGATGGCGCTGGAAGGGATCATGCTCAGCGAAATAAGCCAGAAAGAAAAAGAAAAATACCAGATGGTCTCACTCATAGCAGGAATCTAAAAAACTTAAATAAGGGACCAAGAAAATGAATAACTATAACAAAGTGAAAATCAAAATCAACAAAAAACTATGAACCAGAGATACTCTATGGGGAGTGGGGGGCGGGGAGGGGAGGGATTGGGGTCAAAATAAGGGGGTTGCGATTGTATGGGGAATATAAAAATAAAATTTATTTAAAAAAATAAAAAAAACATAAATCTTTAAAAAAAAAAGACAGACAAAAAGGAAACAAATTCTTGGGTATAAATCAAACAAAATATGCACAGGTATTCTATAAGAAGCACTATGAAATGCTGATAATCAAAATCAAATATCTAAATGGAGAGACATTGTCTTTATGGATTGGAAATTTCATCATTATAAAGATGTAAGATGATTTTCAAAGTTTTACATAAGTTTTACTTCCTATGAAAACATTTCTATTTATATTTTTCATAGTAGTAGATATGTAAGTGATTATTTTTAAACTTATCTGGAAAGCAAATAAACTAGATATGCTGAAATAATTCTAAAAAAGAAAAATAAATCAGGAGGAAACAGTCCCCCACCTCCCAATGTTAATAGTCATACCTACAATATGCAAGAGTGAGAGGTACTGATGGGGAGAGATAAGCCATTCAATTAAATAAATGTGAGTTATTCCTTGTTCATGAACAAGGAGACTCAACGTTTTCAAGTGCTAGTTCTTCCTAAATTGATCTATAGTTCTAATGCAGTTCCAATCAAAATTCCACAGTTATCTTGGGGATATTAACAATCGAATGATCAATTTTATAAGGGCAGGCAAAAGAGCCAGAATATCCAGTAAAATGTTGAAGGCTAAGAACAATGTCAGAGAAAACATTTCAAGTCTTTCTATAATGCTACAGCACTCAAGAGAGTATGGGATTGGCAAAAACAATAAACAAACAGATCTATGAACAGTAAAGGGAGCCTCATAGCAACCCTCACAAATAGAGTCAACTGATCTTTGACAATGGAGCAAAGGCAAAATGATGAAGTGAAAGATTGTCTTTTCAACAAGATGCTGGAACAGATGGAAAATATGCAATGACAACAACAACAAAGGGGACTCTAGATATAGACCTTATATCCTTCACAAAAGTTAGGTCTTAATGAATCAGACGCCTAAATGTAAAATGCAGAACACCAAAACCCACAGAAGACAACAAAGGAAAAATCTAGATGACCTCAGGTTTGGTTATGCTTTTAAGCTATAACACCAGAGACATAATCTATGAAAGAAAAAAAAATCACAACCGTTTTACCAATGAGGAAAAATGTTTAGAGAGGCTGATGACTTGCCCGCAGTTACTTAGTCGAAGCACAGGGTAGCCAGGATTCACACCCAAGTAGTCTGTTGGTTAGGCTCAAAGAAAGCATGCTTCTACTTTCAGAACTGTAAACTTAGCACATGGAGAGCCAGAAAAAAGAATGAAGCAGCTGATGGTTCTAACCTCTGCTTCCCAATATCACTAAAGTGGGAGTGACAGAGCTGGTGTTCCTTTGGGGCCAGTCTCATCACCCTCTCTCTGAAGAGGCTGGAATCCTCGATTTTCTACTAGAATCTGAGTAGTGTGCGCCTAATGTACACCAACACTTTATTCATTCAAGCAACACATATTTCCTTATACACTGGGTATACTGGGTGAGCACTGACTGTGAACATGACAGACAATACAGTTACTCTTATGGAATATTCTAGAATAAGTGAGTCAACATAGCAATGCCTACAATAAAAATGTTACTGGATGGGTAACATGAACTTGTTACCCAGGATCCTGGAGGTGGTGACCTGTAACCTGGGAATTAGAAACAAGAAACAATTGCCAGGTGATGGTCTGGGGGAAGCACTTACCCAGGAACATACTCTAGATGGTAAGTGTCTCCACTCACGTTCTCTCAGAGACAGTCTGTGAAGACAGAGGTAGGTGTGCCCACTGTGCACTAGTCTCAAGACGACTGAGACCATATTGTGCTCATTCCTAGACAGAACCTAATTTTTCTGAATGAATACAGAAATTAGCCCAAAAGTATATCCATGGTTCTTACTTGTGAAAAAAACTTACAGCTGCCAAATTTCAGAGGGCAAGCGTGGGCATCCATCGGGAAGTCCTCAAGTTGCATTGGGCATTCGGCAGAGATAGTCAAGCTGAAAAATAAGAGATGAAGACCTTTAAATGACTCACTAACCTTATTTATTGAGCAACCACTATGTTTCAGGATGCTGAGTCTGAACTCATTATTTTAATCAATACCTTTTATGATACTGATTTATAATCCATGTCTAATCTGTCCCCACCAAATTACATAGCTTTGTTTTGAAGGTTAGTATCAGTGAGAAATACGACTTAAATCAAATCTACTCAGAAGTTCTGTGGTTTGATGTGTGTGTCTATACATATATTAATACTTGCAAGGCGATTTCAGATGACTTTCAAATTATTTATTTTTTGTCTTCCATCCCGTATCCAGAATAATCCAAAAAACTTTTCATGACAAGGCAGCAAATGTATTTTCTAAAATAGTTTATGAGCTCAAAAAATGTAAATGTGGAATAAATGCACAGCTCAAAGTTGGACCAGAATCTGGTTACCATTATTTTGTATTAGACTGACATCTGTCATGAAACTGTAGAGTAACTGGAATTGCGTTCATAGCAATCTTCTCGTATAACCCAATTATTATTTTTCATCCAAGCCAGGTCTTACAAATAATGCCACCGCTTCCCAATACCGCCATCACTGATGATTGCAGAGGTGATGCTCACGGTAGCTGCCTTGTCTGTGCCAGGCTCTGTTAGGTGCTTTACATGCATGAACACACCTAATCACAGTGTGAAGAGATCTTCACTGTCACCATACAGTTTACATGAAGGGATCAGCCCAAGAGCACACATCTATGATTTGAGCCCAGTCTGCACTGCCCCTCCAGCGGCAGAAGTCCCATCATATGCTCCTGCGGCCACAGCTCTGCCTGCAAGAACAGGGTGCACTTCCAGAGTTGCCACACTGTGCTTTTATTTCTCTACAGACCTTACTAATTAGGTAGTAGGCCTCAATTTCATTAATGAGTTGATCTTCAGCTTTTTTAGTCTTTTATTCTATTATTGAAAATTGAACTGAAATCACAGAGAGCGAAAGCAAATGCAAACCATTCACCTTTAAATGGATGCTGTAATTCTATTTTTATTCAGGCAAGTAATTATATAAGCACTATTGTCCCTTTCTTGTTCTTTTAAGTCTGGATCTTGCCTAAATGTTGGATGAGAATCAAAGGGACAGGGTAGAGAGGTAAGTAAATCAGGCAAAAGGGGCCTAGTGTGACTTAATGTAGTCTATATGGACACTGATTTATAATGATGCACACCTGAAACTTAGGTAATGTTATAGTGCATTGTTACTTGAGAACACTCCAAATCTCATGTTCATCCAGGAACGGGACACTTATAATGATATGCTACATCTGTTCATTGAAGAAGCTCAGTAAATACAGAGACATTATAAATACAATTTCCTTATAACTTCACCTGGTACATTTAGTCCAGATTATTTTTTACATGAACATTTATTTTTGTTCTAGATATATGAAATTCATTAGGTAGGGATAATCTCCCCATGACTAAAATCTGTACATGATTTCTTGACAGATGAAATTTTCAATTTTAGCAAGCATACATGTATAATATGTGTATACATGTATATGCATGCACATATATATGTAGACAATATAAGTTGTTCTTAGTCTTATTTTATATGATAATCTGAAGTCAGCAACCTGAGATATAAAATTAATAAAAGGGGGAGTTGGTAGATGGTAGAGACAGGTGGGTAGAGCTTAGCTAGATCTAAATAGAAGTCTTTTTCAATGCAAAACAATTATAGTAAAAGCATCAAAAAGATAGCAATTTTATACTTACTATCTTGACAAATTAAAGACTCATGGATTGTCCCCCATTTTAAGAGTGCCTTAGAATTAAAATTCCAGACCCCAGAAAAGTGTACTTCATCTATGATAGTGTCTCTCCCTTAATGTATGAATGTATTATTCAGATAAATCCCCAAGTAGCAAAATGTTTCAGCCTCAGTAAGAGAATAAAATTAAATTTTTTGATCTCTTTAAGCATTTCAAAAATGGCCTATGCTTTTATAATACTCAAAAAATAGCTCTAGATAAAAGCCAGCCTTCAATTATGGGGCCCTTGATATGTAGAGTGGCTTGATGTACACCAGTCTCCTGCACACAGAACTGAGATCAAAGCGCTCGGTGGCATGGTGGACATTCACAGCTCAAAGGAGGCAGCCAGGTCACCTACTGGAGCCATCACTTTTCAGATATGTAAAATGAAGCCCAAAGGGCTAAGGAAAGTACCTATGGAAAAACTTCACTGAATTACTGGTAGTGCCAAGAATCTAGACCTTCTCCCAAAGGTCCAATTTCTGTTTTCTTACAAATTCTGCTGAGACATTCAGGCACTAAATTATTAGCACATAATGTAACATTTGACCAACATCTGAATTTTAAGGTCAGGAGGAAGGCATTTGAGGAGTTAAGATGCTTGCTGCAACTGGGATTTGTACCATCCCACTCAAGGACCTAGGATTCAAAACTCATTAGAAAGCTTGCTGTTTGACCAGGGCCAGCTCACAGTGGACAGTACTTTAAGAGGGCAAAAGCAAATTCTAGAGTAGCTTTGCCATTAACTCACTACACAAACTTTGCAATAGTGTCTAACCTCTCTGGTCCAGTACTTCCTGTTTGAAAAAGACAGTCTCAGTTACCTTCATTTTCTGAAAAAACTAATTGCTAGGCGTGACAAGAGGGTTAGTCTCCAAGCACAGACTATGGTTGGCAAAATGATAATCTCCTAAAGATGTTTAGGTCCTAGTCCTTTCTACTTATGAATATATCACCTACCATGGCAAAAATACTTGTCAGATGGGACTAAGTGAAGGTTTTGGGAGGAGATTATCCCAGATTGCCTGAGTGGGTCCAATGGTGTAGTTTCCTACACTGTAAGTCTTTTCAGATTTGAGCTTTCTTTTTTTCTTTTTCTTTTTTTGGTGTATTTTTTCAAATTTACTGCCAAGAAGATTCTGCTTTATTTTTTAAAATTAATTAATTAATTAATTTTTAAGATTTATTTTTATTTATTTATACAAGCACTGGGTACAGTCAGAAGCGTGGGAGGGTGAGAGAATTCACCAGAGCCAGAGCGGGGAGCAGAGCAGGCAGAAGGACCGAAGTACACTGCTGAGGGGAGCGGCAGGCAGCAGGAGAGGTCTGCGCGCCATGTGGGACCCTCCTCCGGTGGCTGGGGAGCAGCCGGGGATCGAACCGGTGCTGCAGAGGCTGCGGGCAGCTTCGCAACCCAGCGCTCAACCACTGCACCACCAGGGAGGCCCAGATTTGAGCTTTCTTCTTTCACAATGCAAACAGCAAATCAGTGCAGTAGAAGGGGGGAAGAAAAATGACTTTGCAAAGATGTCCATGTCAGAATCTCCAAATCCCCAAAAGTTTTGCAGATTTAACTAAGGTTCTTGAGATGGGGGAAATTAATCTGAACTATCCAGAACCCAGTACAAGCTGAACGATACTTATGGGAAAGAGGCAGGAGTGTCCACGCCAGAAAAGGAGAGATAATGACAGAAGCAGAAGTCAGAGTGATGGGTCCATGAGCCCAAGAAAGCAGGCAGTGTCTAGAAGCTGGGAGGAACAAGGACAGGATTCTCCTTAGAGAATCATAAGGAACAAGGCCCGTTTATGCTTGATTTTAGCCTCATGTGTGAACTTCTGACCTCTAGGACTGTAAGACGATAATTTGGTGGTGTTTTTACCAATCACTGTGTGATAATTTGCTGAACCAGCAATAGGAAAATAACACAAATTTTGATACCTGGAAATGGGGTGTTGCTGTAAGGAATATTTAAAATGTGTGGTGACTTTGGAATGGTAGTGGGAAGAAGCTGAAAGAATTTTGAGGTGCATAATATGGGGGAAGTCTAGACTACCTTGTAAGTCTAGAGTACCTTGAACAGACTGATAGTAGAAATATTGCTCTACTGATTCTGTGGCAAGGACTCAACAGGAAGGGAAGAGCATGGTAGAGAAAACCTATACTTACATGGTCATGTATATATGGTCCTGCTGGTGTGGGCTGAGGACATGCAGGACTCCTTATGGAGAATGGAGATCCTTCTTTTATCATGACAGAAAGTGGACCTGGATGATGTCTACAATTACATGGAAATTAGGACTTGTCCATGACTATGTGGGCTAAAGGTTGATCCTCAAAAGTATCAGGTCTTAACTCCTAGGACCTGTAAACACTGGACCTGTAACACCAGGAATGTCTTTTTTATTTATGCATACAAGAACTGGGGTGTAAGCCAGAGGTGTGGGGGTGAGAGGATTCACCAGAGGCAAAGTGGGGAATAGAACAGGCAGATCTACTGAAACACACTGCTGAGGGTAGCAGGGGGCAAGACAGGAGAGGTCTGCTGTGCCATGTGGGTTGCTCCCTGGTGGTGGGGAATCGAACTCATGCTGCAGTGTCTGGTGATAGCTTGATAGAGCTGTCTTTAACCAGTGCTCCCCAGAGAGACCCAACACCAGGAATGTCTTATAGATGCTGTAATGAGTTGAGACTTGGGGAGTTATTGGGGTGGGGCCAATATATTTCTTGTGTGTATCTACATACGTGTGTGTGTATATATATATACACACACACACATATAGTGTGTGTGTGTGTGTATACACACATACTTTTTTTTAAAGAATCACTGGACCTAAAAAATACAGACAACTCATGTCTCCTTCTAAGTCCCCTATGAGCCCTGCCTGATGCCTAAACACTGTCTTACTAGAGTTTTCTCCCTTGTACTTCTGACCTCAGAAAGAACTCCAAACTTGTTCATTAAATAAAAGAATGCATGAATGCATTTGTTTTCCCATAAACAACCACTAATATGACGAACCACATGTACTGTTTGTCAGTTAGGCATCACTGGTTGTTCTGGGAACCTAACTACAATTTATAATACTTTTTTGAGGAAAATGCATTCTAAAGCTCAGTCAACTATATACAAACTGACTTTTTGAATCTAAACATTGACAAGATGGGATATTGTGTGTAGAAACCCAAAGGTCTCT